GCGAAATGGAGCTAAAACGCGCGTGCGATTCTTCGATGCGTGTTCTAAATCGGCAGTCAAGGAAATTGTCCACTTCCCTTCCTCCCTTCCGACGCCGGTTTCTTGCGTCTGAATTACAATGGGTCACGCGTATTCTCGTTAACCTTGAAGTCTGTCCAAGATTTGCAAGCTGCTCTCGTTCACCATGAAGGAAGATCATCTTTTTCGATCGTAGCTACTTGAAATGAAAAGAAAAAAAAACAGCTTCTTTTTTCAAACTACATATGTACATACGTATAAGAATAGTCGAAAGATAGAAAGATTGGTGAAATGTTCGTTGCTCGTATATTGCTTACCCGATCGATAAAATTGATCCGACGTTACGAAGCAAAGATTGAAAATTTTATTCGACCACCTGCGATACGTATGTATTTCGATCGCATGTCTTTCGTTTCTGTTCCGAAAACGATAACGAAACATCGCGCCTAACAGTCGATAGTCGCTTTACGATGTGTTACGTGCACATGCAAAGTGCAGATGTAGTAGTCGTTCAAAGCACTGCTCCAGCAATGACGTAATCTTCCTTAATAAGTTTCGTCGAAGCAGCGTAGTCAGAAACGAAAGCCACGTACAAATACGTTTACAATTGTAACGATGTGTTCTGTATCCGTATTCGAAGGAAGAGCCGTTTGGTATAAGCCGGTTTCAGCAAGAAACACGCCTACCAACGAAAATAGTCCGAGAACCGAGTTCCCTCTTCGCGAAAGTCAACTAAGAATTCAGCACATACACAAACCAATCGTTGAAATGCATTTGCCGCGACTTCGTTGTCGCGTTCTTTTATCAAACAAGGATAATAGGAAAAATAAAAAATAACCGAATAAAAAATCGATTAGCACTCTGGACTCTGTCGGTTTTTTCTGTTGGGAAGAAATTATTTTTACCGACAATTAGTGAGAATCTGCGAAGAAATTCTGCAAAAGACCCTTTAGAAATAAACGAGCGGGTTTGTTTCTTCCAGAACAAAACGTTACGCACTAAACATATACATATGTAAGTGCTCTATGTGGCTGTTGCAGATTCGTCGCGAATGTTCGTAGTCACGATATGCGTCTGTATCCTATTGCTGGTGATTTTACGATGTAGCCCCGATGTGCTAAATGTACATCGTCGACCAGAAATAACGTTTCGTTGACGTCAGGATGCCAAACGGACGATCGTAAGATACCACCCAACTTACACATCCGTTATGGATCATTATTTCACTCTAACGAGAAAGATGATCGTTTAAAAGAACCGTCGAATGTATTTTTCATCGTAGATAAAGGCGGCCAACTTCACCCTCCAATTCTGCTTGATTTTTTCTAAACAAATATTTCGACATTTTTCTCTTCGATATTATTTTATCGATCTTCTTGAAACACGAGTTTCAAGTTAATCTCGAGGTAGTTATTGGTAGTGAGAACAAGCTTTGATGAACCGGTTCTGACCTGTTTATTTCTTCCAACGCGAGGCGACGCGACGCGACGCGGCATAGAAAAGCATGCGTGCGTGTGTTCTTGGCTGCCCACCTTTTCTGGCCAGGTTGTCACGTATCGTAAACAAGCTATATAATGCAAAAGGCTTGTCATAGAAACGATATCGGAATGGCAGAAATGATGGAAATTCGATGAAATGACAAGGTTAATGTAATTACAACGCTGCGAATCACGCGGAGCCGGTTATGATCTCTGCAGAGAGAGAGCAGAGACGAGGAGTTTCCATTCGATCGATTCCAGGCTGTCACGTGCACGCACGCGGTTCATACCGCGGGCTCAGGAAACTGGTGCGCGTCACGCGCCACACGCGCAGAGGCAAGATCGGTGCCAGTTACAGCACCGGAATATAGGGGAGAGTCGATCGGCATCTGGCGCAGTCTGATTTCTCGCTCGTTCTATGAGTTACATAGTTACTCGTTGAAAAGTGTTTCACCGCGTGTAGTCAATCTCGTATTGTATTGTATTGAATCGAGTCGAATCAGTTCAGATCTCCACAGGCTATAACACATTCGTGAACGCGTAATCGTCGGAACGAAAGTGTTTATACCTCGGAAAATCGGTGTTCGTCGTGTTCAAAGTTCAAACTTTGCTGCTCTCTTAATAAACGAATCAAGGGAACGCGCGTGCTTGAGTTATGTGGGGAATAAGTTGCTTGTGAACAACGAGAACCGTTCGTTTTTTGGAAAATCTGCGTTGATCGCGAGCACAAGTCGACCGAGAACGCTCTCTCGTCTAGTTTTACAAGCAGACGTCCATAAATGTTCCATCGAATCACCGAGAGACTCGTCTTCGCGCCGGTGGTCCGCCATTGGAAAAGAAAGTTGGTGTTCGTGATTACATGAGCGGCCGCAACGGCTAAAGGAATACGCGTACAGTGAGTTTGTTGCACGCTTACTACGCGATACACCGCGAATCCTCTTTTATACTTTCACGTGAGGGTTTTCCTTCGACGAGGATTACTTCTCCAAAAATACACAGGTACAAATGGTTTCGAGGAATGATTTCAATTCCCCCATACGGTATATCGCGAAAACGTACGAATTAAGAAGTTGATCCCTTTAGAGTGATCAATTATGCAACCTAAGTTTACCCGCTACGTTGCAATACTGATGCAAACGGTAATTTGATTTAGGAAAAAGAAAGGAAAGAAAATGACAAAATATCCGACCAGTTACGTAACGTAATTCCAACGTGATATTAGAAGTTTATGTTTGTTGAAGTATGCTAGAAACATGTGTAGAAATTTAGTTTTTACCACAAATAACGACAAGGATGCAGCGAATGTTGCACAGTGCATTCAATCTGTACTCTATCGCAGATTTTTTCATCGATTCGTTTCAGTCAATGCGTACTAGTCGTCGTCGCCAGCTTGTTAGTCTTCTTCTTTTTCTTCTTACATATGTATGTATGTCATGTATGGACTGGATTATTAATCATCAGTCGATTGATTAAAAAACTTTTCCTTCTCTTTTCTTTTTTTTTAAATTTGCAATCATGAACGCGCGCGTTTTCCTTTTTATTCGTTCGATACGCATTGCGATATTGACCGAACATCGTTCGATAATCGTCAGACTCGATGCACTGCGTTCTTCTACTTCGATATGAAAATAACGCGTTATACCGATGAAGAACACCATTTCGATGACGAAGCAACAAGAAAACCGACTCGCCGCAGGAAAGCACGATAAGACGCGTAATGACGTGACCTACCTCACTCTTGGTGTTCTCAAAGGCATTTCTCTTTAACAACGTTGATCGATCAGTCTGGCGTACCCTTTTCCACCCGTTGAAAATGCATTTCGTTTCAAGTAACTTTTCATTTTCTCAACCAGCTGATACTAAATCGAAAGCTGAATCGCAAGAAAAACGAAACTCTGAGAAAATTAAAGGATATACATATAATTTACTTGGTGAACGTCGTCGATCGATATACGCATTTGTTTTAACACTAGGTAATCGAATACTAATCGATTAATTTCTATCACATTAGTATCTGATTTCGATACCAATTGCTTTGCATCGACTAATCGAAATATTACGAATTTCCTTTTTAGTTAGGTAATTATTTTACTCTTCAGCTGCCTCCTAATCGATTTCCATTATAGAAATTAAAGTCACGAGACCGTTAATATTTGGAGTCAACGTTGTTTATGCTTCATTGATTCTTTCTAGGATTCAGATCGAACCGGTCCTCAGTGGCGTGGCAATGGAATTTTCCGATTGGTTTCGAGAAATAAATAGAGGATAGAACATCACGTGCAAATATGTATATAGGAGTGTTACTATTTGTAGAACAGGGGATTGGCGAAACTCTTTCATCTTGTTAAACACACATTTCAATTTTCACACGTATGAATTACGTGTTCGTTTGTTCGTCGTTTCGTTTCAAAGAAGATATTTTGGGAAACCGTACTGAAAAACTCTTCTTTCGATGTGTTGTACTTGGTTGTAACACGAGTGGAAAAGTTAGAGTGACGCGAATAGTTTCGTTTTAATAGGATCTCGTAGGTTCTTGTAGAAAGAAATACGTTATTGCGAAGACCGATGACTCATTGCGAAAGTATTTACGCCCTGCAGTTTCTTCACTACTACCTACTACCTACACTATGTTTCGTGATATTGTAACTATAAACGATAGAGGAATAAAAATCAGTCGAATTTTTGCATCGACGATTTTTCTATTGGAAGTAGCGAATGGAAGAAATGGGCAGGTTAACTAACCGAAGTATTGAAGTATACGAGGGAATGAAATGCTTTCGAAATTCTTTACTCTGTGTTTTGCTTGCTTTTAGCATCCGTGATAACGTGGTGAACGGCGTGATCCCCGCGAGTGATTGTAAAATTTGCAAGGACGCAAAGGCCGAGCCGAAAGATACCGAGGACGCGTCTCTGTTTTGCGCGCTGAAACCGCGTAAGCGTAAAGAACGTCGTGAGTCCTGTTGTCAAGAAAGGAAACTGATAAGGTACGATGAATAAATATCCCGTTTTTGCCCCTCCCTTTTTTCTTTTTCTCACGGGATTAGGTGTAAATCGTGTTACTGGACGAGCTTGTTGTTCTCACAAATTGAAACCCTTTCAGAAGCAGCAGCGAGGAACGTGTTCTTGATAGTCCGACTGAAACCGCAGACACGATTAGACGCGTGAGCAGTCACGAAGACTTCAATAGTGAAGAACATTTGCACATTTTGTCACAACTCGGCCAAGACATGGGTCATGGTGTGGTGAGTTTCTCTAACACTCTCTAACAATAAGTAACAACACCGTGTACGCATGATACGTGTGTACATGTTCTAAATAAACGTACGGGGTGTTTGCAGAGATGCGGAAGTCTTCCTTTGCACGAGAGAACGAATGTTTCACCGGTATCCAAGAAAACTCCACCAATTCTGTCACCATGTGAAACGGCGTTAGAAACGGAAAAGTTCGAATGCGACGCTGAAAAATTGAGAAGCAGCGAACGTTTCAGCCGAAGTATTACTCCAAGGGGAAGAAGGCAGGCTCGAAGAAGAAGAGTGCACAAGGTTGCAGATACGGAGAGCTCGAGCAAGGTAACATTTCTACTCGTTCTTCTTCTACTACGACGCACGTGCTGCGCCGAAAAAAGAAGAAATATGTAGTTTTTCTAATAAACCAACTAAAAACCTTTGATTAGGAAAACGAGGAAGAAACTGATAATATTTATAATGTGTCATCGAGCCCTAATGGTCGTAATGGTTCTCCAGCGCAGAGTTTTTTGGAAATGTTGAGCAGCGGCCCGAGTCGATCACCATCACCGGCTCGTCCTCTTATAGTTAGTCATGAAGATTTAAACAATCCCAGCTTAACTAATTGGACCTTTCAACGACAAGAAAATGTAAAGAATTATGTCGGATAAGCATAAATATAAGTAATGTTTGTTAATTTCATAGTAACTAACGATAGTAACACATGTCAATCATATATTTATAGGGAGAAGCTGCGGATGCACGAGTGGAAGCTATGTTTTCTCCAAGAAATTCTTTATTGTTACCTAGACGTTTTTATTCTGAGAATGAAATGCAACCGACCGTTCCGAATATCGCGGAACTTGGTTTAAAAAGTTTGACTAAACATATAAATGGTTTGAAGAAAAAGATTAAAAAGTACGAAGACGAATTTGAAGAAAATTTTGGTTATCGTCCAAGTCATTCCGACAAAATGAGTAACAAGGATATAAAACGATTATGCATGGAGTTAAACAAATTGCGGAAGGAACATAAACTGTTAAAAGAAGATCCAATTAGTGCGTTATTGGCTAATGCAAATAACAGAACAAGAACTAATGGTAGCCCAACGAATAACAATAATAGCCAAGAAAAGTCTGGAGCGACGTCGATGGAAGAAGTAGTAAAAGAAGTAGAGAAAAAGCTTAACGAAAAGAGATTAAAATATAACAGACCCGAGAATATGGAGGAGTTAACTTACGAACAACTGATAGATGAAAAAACTGCTGTCCAAAAAGCTTTGCTTCACATTGAGAACACTTTTGGGAGACCAGTTTCTAAGGAAGACAGAGCTGTTGTTCGACCTTTGTACGATAAATATAGAACATTGAAAAGATTACTCATTAGAGCAGGAGTGGTAAGCAACATTAGGATATTTCCGTATCAAGACCTGATAGTAACGAAATACACGTCTATGCGGATAACATAGCAAAATTGACTATTTTTGCACTTTTCTCTTACAGAGCAAAAATAAAGATAGTATTTCAGAATTAGCTACTATTTTGGAGCATGAAGCAATGGATTTTACCTCGTCCAATTTACCTGGTAATCCATCTGATACGGAAAGAAGAGCCAGCGAACCTGATATGTCACATAGAGGTATTTTGGATTGTATAGATTCGGTAGACCAATTGCCAACTGATAGTGATAGTCAGCACAGCAGTAGCGAAGGAAGTCGTAGTAACAACGAAAGTCTTCATGCTCTTCCACAGTGAGTTCTGGATATTTAGTTTATTAAAGTCCTTGCCCTGGAAACTCAATTACCCAATTACTTAATTTCATTTCAGAGAAGAATTATTGGTACAACAAAAATTAACCAGGGAAGAGAAAAAGCGTCTGCGACGGGCTCTGAAAGAATTAGAAGCACAGTTCGAAGCTCGTGCCGGCCGTAGAATGCAAAGAGAAGACCGTGGTCCGCATGTTACATCCGTTTACGAATCGTATAAACAGGCCAAAGCAAAGCTTAGACTGATCGATGCTCTTATAGCTAAAAATGCTTGACGCAGTATCTAATTGATGTCTTGAAATCTACGTCCTAATCCAGCAACAAGAAAAGCTTCAAACATCTCGAAACGTGTGAAACATACGCAGTGATTATTATACAATCGATAAATCATACAACATTCGTACAGTTATAAATAATGTTAACACGCAATAGTAATGCCAAGAAAAAATATTTAAACGAAACAACAGTTATTCAGACAAGAAGATATAATAGTATGTATGATAATTTGAATTTATCTAAAATCAAAACATTTTAGAAAAAGAAAGAAGAGACTATTTTCGGTTACTATATATGTAGATGTCATCCAGCTACTATCAGTTTCTACGTAATACTTATAATAATTCACGCTCTTTTATTTTCAATCGACAATGTTAGCAAAATTCCTTATTAAGTAACTTATTATTAACAAGAACTATCACATTTGTACGAAATGTTTTCAAGAACAGTTTCGATTATTATAATTAATTATATCCTTTTGGTAAAAATTTTGTTATTTTAATGACACATTGGAATGCATATTTTGAAGTGGTATCATACGATAATAAATGATGAAATTAGAACCAGGATAGTACTTTGAACTTTAAACACTAATAGTTAGCAAGTAACGGTGGCTATTGTGTAACAAACCATCTGCCGATTGCACATCATTTCTTTAAAATACTCAACGTCAGATTCGATAAAATACAGAAAGGAAATGCTTATTACTTAGTTATTGTAAAGTGTGCCTATTTATACGAATAAGAACATCGCATAACAAAATATTAAGGGAAAAATTACCACTGACTTGATTCATCAGAAGTTTTCTACGTATTTTTACCAATGTCGCGTCAAATTTTCTCACTTCCTATTTTATATTCATTGCATATTTACATTGCGTTGTACTAAAGACGCATTATTCTTTTAGATTTTTCTGCATTCATGTATTTGTTTATATTTTACTGAATGCGGAGTATTATAAAAATTAAAAAAAAAAAAAAACGAGAAACGAAAGAAATTACTGCTTGAAAAATTATTGTATGTACGTATCTTGCTATAAAGCAATAGGTAGAAGAACATTTTGAAAGAAAATCCACAAAATAAACGTAAAGAAATGAACAGTGACAAACTTACAAACGTAACTTACGAAATTGATTTTATAATTCAAGCACGAACATAACGAACACAGTTTGTGTTATTTTTTCGTTGATTGAAAATGTTATTTATCTTTCCTGATTACTGTTGTTAACAAATTTTTCTTTTCTTTTGTCTTTTATTTAATCTAATATGAAATATTATTTTCTTTAAAATCAATATATGGGTTGAACATAGAAATGGAATTAACAGATTATTTGTTAAAATCAATATGTTCATTTTATCGTTGAAGTATTATCACCAGATTGAATGTTGAGAGTAAAGAACGAATCTGTGGGGTTATTTATAATGTAAGTACCTTGTAAGAGATATCACATGTTATAATTGTAGAGTACTATAAACTGTTACAGTCTTATAGCTGTATTAAACTTATTCATTAAAAGCTTGTTAATTTCTCTGTTTTATATTTGTACAAGTAAAATTTTCAGGCAATTATTCGGACATAACGTAGATATAACGTACCTTCTTATAATAGCCTTAAAATTTAACTTGATAAAGCGTCTCAATTGAGGGTGCTACGGTTTGTGTTTACAGCGTATCAAATAAGAGAAATGCTCTGAGAATTTTATCAGCATGGAAGTGCGCCGAAGGGGTTCGCGAGTTTTAATGATTTTGCACTAAACAAAAGGTATAGAGACCTTAAACTCTAATATGGATCAAGGATCAATAAATAATGCTATAAGAAATATTATATAAATTATACATATATATATTATACAGATACATACATGATTTACAGCCTTAACTAAAATCACATTGATTGATGTTGGAATTTTTGAATTGATTATAAAAAAAAACATGCCAAAAAGTATACGCATAGTTTCAATCAGTTCCTTGCAATATATTTTCGTTCCATTTTTATTCTTTTCTCAAATTAAAATTATATCGTGGCCCCAGATCTTTAGCGCTAATGCATTTCGCACACTCGAATAACAAAATTGATTTGTTTGAACATTTTAATCTTGTATTGATTCAATTGACATTGGTTATAAATTTTATCCGCTGAACTAGAACATGCGGAATGAATAAAGGAAACAAAAAAAAAGAGAGGGAGAGAGAGAGAAGAGAAACGATTATTTAGACCAAAGCATTTTTTAGTCTGTGATATAATATGAGAGATATATTGCTTGTGTTAATATAGGAGAGTATGTGTGAGAAGGATCTAATTATTTTTCCCATTTTTTGAAACGATTTATTAACATAAGAGAATGTTTTCGGCTGTCTTCTTCGTAGAAGGTAATCGAAATTGATGATCTGATTAAAAGATCATTAAACAAGAGTAGCAACTTAAGTAATGTTACATTCTTTTGTATAAAAAAAACAAGCAAGAAAAAAGAAACGCAAATTGAGGAAGAAAAATCAAAAGAAATCTGGCAATTCAATTTAATAAAATTGCAAATTTTTTGTATTTTTCAATAATTTAAGAAGTTGACATTTTTTGTATATAATTTCCTTCCACGATTATTTTTTTGTCGATTGTTGTATTTGCTCGTATTTTTATAGGAATGTAAAAGAATTCATTTTACCATAAATATCACAGAAATATTTTACTTCGATTTCGTTTTGGAGTACGAGCAGTGATCTCGATAATAGAAGGGAAAAAAGTATTGCCTTAGAAATAAGATAACATTCTTTATTAACGTTATCCAAAATAAATTTTGTAGATTATAGAAGAGACGTATCTTTATGCGTGTAAAAATAAAACGCGTGATTCTATGTAGTTGCTTAAAGGAAAAATATTCCCACCACTGTTAAGTTAAAATTTCGTATTTATGAAAAATGGGATTTTATTATGAAGGATTAAACTTTATTTTGTAAAAGGAAAAATTAATTTTGACAGTGTACCTAGGCATTAGAGACAAAATTAAAAAGAACGAATAAAGATTGATGCATGAAAATAATGTTTTGTTTGTACATGTGTCGCAAATAGATAGGTATAACATTGGCAGTAAAGAAGCAAAAAATGAATGATGTTTAGCAAAATTTTAATTATTCTTCAACGTTTATAAATGTGTGATTATGTATATACATATATACCATATGTATAGATATAAGCAATTGCGTACATAAATATACAAAACCATGCATGCATACAATTCTATTACCCGTTATAGCAAGTAGCACGGAGAATCAAATAAAAGAAAAACATGATCTGTTAAAAATATTACTTTCGTTAGACAAAATAATCCTAACGAAATTCTTTGATATTTTTAACGACAAATCCTTTATTATAAGAATATAATTGTTTACTTACGAAGAAATACTACAAATTTGATTTACCTTATACTTTATATTCTTTTTGCCTTATTCATTATGAATTATTTGTAGCTATTTTGTTCTAAATAAAGGCAATATTTTGAATGATTACTTATTCAAGACTCGTTCTATTTTTGTGGATGTATATAAAGAAGGGTTTTAATAATTATCGTGTAATGAATATGTTAATAAATTCTGCTTACGTGAAAAACATACTGCACCGTGATGTACCATTACCACGACGTCAGTTTTAATTGCTTTTGAAATGTTTGAATTTGTCGTAAAAGTCCCGCTAATCGAAGAGAAGTAGGTTCTCTTGTTGTAATAACACTATTTCCTCTTCTGTGACAAAATCTTTGTTGAAAACTTGACCCACAAGATTTAGTTGACGTAAAGGGCACAGATGAACATAATTTATTCGATCCCAGTGGAATTTCTGTCGATATGCATATATAACCGTTCTTTTCTTGTAATACTCTCATTTGATGTTTTAATGCCATTACCTAAGATCGAAAAAAATGAATAAATGAATTATTAACTTTAATAAATATTCATATCGTAAACTGTAGAATAAGATAATTTAATTTCTATGTGCGAAGTAAGTTTACCTCTTTATACAAATTTACAACAGCATTTATCTCATCTTCTTTAGCACTTAACTCTTTTTCCAGATTTAGTATTTCTTCTTCTAAACCTTTATTACTACATTCTTTTATTTTTGCTTGTAATTTTTCATATTTTCTACAATCAATTAGAAAATATCAAATTACAATAGGATATACCGTTTCACTAGCACTAGTATAACTTACATATTCATTTCTTCAAATTGATCATGAAGACTAATTAGAACCTCTCGTATTCCCTTTGAATTTTGAGATTGATTAACTGATGAGGTGTTACAAACGTCTTTACCACATATACTGCCCTATAATTTTTTCAAATTAACATTTCCAATCAATCCATCAATCCACATAACTTTACTTGATATGTTTTGAATTGTATATTTGAAGTATCCATTTCTGAATTGACATTTTGTTGGGAAGCAAATAATTTTAACATTTTATTGTCTATTGCATGTAACTGTGTTGTATTTAGTGTATTCAATAGATTCTCTGATCTAGTATCCTGTAAATAATGAAAAATGAATTTTTATACTATTTTAAGATAAAATATGTATATTCAATGATATACATTGTTTAGTAAATTTTGCAAATTGAAAAATGCAAATTTAAAATTACATTTTAAATACTTACTTCTTTTCTATCATATTTCAAAAACACATTTTCATTTTCTAACTGCTCACATTTATTCATAAATAAATTTTCCTTCTGCATGTGTATGTTGGTCATTCGAGAATTTACATGAGATAGTTTACTCTGCTGATTATTTATTTGTTCCATGAGAATAGACACAGGCTTCATACCTCTGCTAATTTTACGAATAAGAACAGGAGTAATTCCACTTCCAGCAGATTGTCTATTTTTCATTATACTTAAAACCTTTTGAATAAAAAAAGCCATAGCAATAATTATCCCTTATTTTTACATCAAATAACATACTTGTTGAATATTTAAACCTAAATTATGACTTGGGGTTACAGAAGTACCCACTACAAAGGGTATATTTTGAAAGTTGAATCTACCGAAGTACGAGCGATTCGATCTTTTTAATTTTGAAGCCAAAGTTGGCATTTCATAATTATGAGTAACTATTGGGTCACAGTATGGTGCTTGCATAATTGCACTTTGACAATGATGTGAGTAGCACTTTTCCATGGCACATAAGGGAGCAGCATTTGAAACCTCCAAAGTATAATTCAGATCATTAGTATTGGTACTTCTTCCTCTAAAAGTAAAAAATACACGTTATATATAATATTTTTATTCCTGCAATCATTAGTATAAGTACTTACTCTGTTTTCTGTTTAAATTCCTGTTGCCTTTGAGAATAATTTTGCTGACTATTTACATCAATATTTCGAATGTGGCAACTATTGTCCTCACATTTTGGCTTTACAGTTATAGTTTGTCGTTTATTTACAGCTGAAGATTTTAATATGTTAATATAGTTCATGTGGTGATCAAGCTTTGAATGTTTACTAGGAATAGCAGAAGTGCTACCGCATTTTGCTGCTGTATTATGATAAATTTCCACTACTTCATTAGATGTCTGCTGAGACTTCAATGTATGACGATTATTTACATTATCTAAAATATAAATAAAAGTCAATATAAAATTCTCAAATGTACATCTTTATTTGATACTTTTTTGTTTTCGTTTTTTTGTGTCCTTTCTTCCTACAAAATTTGTATCCCTTGTAGTCACAGTACTTCTTGAATTAGAAGAATGTACTTTTTTTCTTCTCCTTTTAAATTTCAGAGAAATAGTATCATCTAACTTGCATAAGGAACCTTTCTTGCTTGATAATGTTGAGGACACTGCCTTTTCCTTTTTCTCACTTTTTGCACAAATTTTACTTTTATCTATAGATCCATCTTTTACACTACCAGAAATATTAAATTTACTATCATCTCTTACAGAAGATAATTCTTGAAGCAAGTATTCATTCTGATTATCCAGAATTAACTGTTCAAAAGATTTCTTTGCATTCGCAGCATTTTGTATTAATTCTGTAGAAAATTCTGCTAAATGCTTTTGATACGGATATTGCCAATTGTGATTATGCTCTTCACACTGCTAATAAGAGTTTTACAAATATAGTTATGAGGAATAACATCCTTTAAAATATGCATAAAAAATATTCAAGATATAAATACATACTATCATGTTTTCTTGATGAATTGGTGATAATGATCTTGATTGTACATATGTGTTCTGGGAAAGATTATAAGTTTGAGATGTAATGGAAGATAATTCAAAATCTCTTTCTTTCTGTTCATTTAAGTTTTCTGATTTTTCTTCTTCTTTATGTTGCATATTAATTTGTGACAAAATGTTCACTAAATTTGAATTTAAGGAAGATTCATGTTCTTGGTTCTCATCTGTAACAAAGAATGCATTTGAATTTTGTACAATATAGAATATAAGAACATAAAGTAATTAAAAATATTAAATAATTTATTGCACCATTGTCATTTACAAATGTGCATTGGATATTAGAGTATTCTCCCAAAGAATTATTACAATTTGTCTGTTTGGAAATTACAGTTTCATTATTATTATTAGAAAGCTCAATTTTAGGATTTTGCCAATTTAAACTACTCAAAGTCTTTTTAGTTTCTGGTATTTTTGGTATATCATGATATAACATTTTCATGTATTCCAAATGAGTTTTTAACGAATCACATCTTGTTTTTGTAGAATGTAACCATTGTTTTACATTTTTCATATCTAAATAAATAAAAATCAACACAATTAAAATTGATACAGTCAAAATATAAGGATTAATTACTGTTGTAAAGAAATATTTCTTTAATGTATATGGAGTTACTCTTTTCCAGTAATTATAATAATAAAATATTAGAAAATATCAAATACATATAATTACCAGTATTATATTTTCTCTTGTTACTAATATCCATATTCTCTTTTTTTCTTAAAAGAAGTCTATAAAAATACGCGAAACAAGGATTCGCAGGTTATACTTTGATCATTTATCGATTACATTTTCGTGCGTACGTCCTTTGTTTTCGATATGTTCTTCTTTCATTAAAAGAACATCGTTTACGTGCAATTTTAGTTTTTCTTAAAAATTTTCAACATTTAAATTTTAACTTCATGCTAACTTTCATTTAATCATTTATTCAATTTGAGAACTATATTTCATTATTGTAATACCATTACAAAGTATGTACGGAATATGATTAAAATATTGAATTGATGACATATACTTTAAACATAAAAGTTAAGCATTAAGTTCAGTATTACTTAAGCAAAAGTTCAATATTACTTAGGCAAAAGTTCAGTATTAAGTAAGAATTAAAATCATTTCTAAACAAACTGAAGGCTGAAGCATTTTTAGAATGACATAAAATACAATACAGTCACAGTACAATTCATCCTTTAGATAAATTCATATGAGCTACATAGTAATCTATAAATATTCATGTGACGATAACAAATTTAAAAATAGCTTTAAAATGACCGATGAAAAGAAAAATCTAGAATGAAGAAACAGTTGGTAAATTTTTAAATTGAATTAGTGTAACACTGGTCTACAATATTTGGTCGTTGGGTGCGCTGAGATCTCTTTCGCGGATATATTTTAAGAAGACGTAGTTCGATCTACTTGTGAGTTGCAAATGGTGGACGGCCTGTCATCGTCGTTGCTTTAACATCAGGTACGAGAATTTGTATTTCATTTACGTTTAATTTTTAGTTATGACATTAACGAAACATAATTGTCTTGTTTACGAATAATTGTTGGTCATTATGTAAAAAAAATTTTTTTAAGTAACAAGCATTATTCTCTCACGAAACATCTTCGATTACGTAAAATTGTTGCACCAGACGAAAATAGTCACCTGACTTAACAAATGTAGTTATCGTTCTCGTATTTTTTAGGAAATAAATTTTATTGAGAGCACTTACGTTTCATTTTTTATCTTTGCATTGATATAAGGTTATCGAGATATTGTTAACAATCGATAAAGTAACCTATAACTCAATTACAATTGAATGAAAAGTATGATTTTTTCATATGTGTATGTATAAATGCAATTGTGTAATAACTATAGATACTCCTATAGTACTCTACTTTACTTATTCTTCCTCTTTAATCTAACTTTTAAATTTATTGACAATTTCATATGCATATAATCGTACCATGAAGATTGACGTTTAACCACGTTTTCAAGACAAATGTCACGATTCTGACGTTTTTCTGATTGTCAAAAGGTAGTTACTTACTTATTCGGCAAAAGGATAAGAAATAGAAATTTGAAATCTGATTTAATTGCTTTTTACCATTCATTTTTTATCACAAAGTTTTCTAGAATGTAATTTTAAATACGAATTGGAATGAATGAATTCATACAAATTCTAAGAATAAATACCAGATTTCTGCCGCTATTATGAAATACGGAAAAAGTTGGTGAAAATTAGGTCAGCATTTTGTCTCATGCTTATTTATTACAGTTTTCTTTTATCTAAAATTTTACGTTCATTTCGTACATTTCTATTTGATATACACCGATTGCTACGTAATATGTTGTAACAATTGATAATACGTTATCGTCTACATATCGTAATTGATATAAATATTTTTTCATTGATTTCAATTTGAGTTGCACAATGTTGTACAGTAGATATTATGTATTATAATCTTATAACAAATTTTGATATTATAAAATATAATGAAATGCAATACCTTTTTTATTAATAGCTTTTACTTATATTTATGTTTTATCAAATGATAAAATACAGTGAATGTAAAAAGAGTATACTATGAATTCTTTTTCTATGTTTTGATTTTCTTGGTGGCTTATCTGCTTCACATTAGTCATTCATTGTGATAGACTAGGTTATTTGCGCAGACCAGTCTGGATTATATTGTCTGATATAAATCATTTCCTGCTTAGACATTAATATGCAATACTCATTAAGAATGTCTTATGTTTTAAACATAGGTTGTAAATTAATTTTTGTAACATTTTTTAGTTAGACACATCAAAATAATATTATCTTTTAATACTAATAAGATGTTAATTTTATTCACAAGAATAGTTTTTTCTTCCTTTAAATTGTGAAAATGCAAAAAAGCTAAACTACTGTAATAATTTAAATATTTTTTTTTTCACTTTGTT